CCCCCCCCCCCCATTTTATTGCTATTCAGTCCTTTTGCCAGAGTTTTGCTAAAGGAAACTAGTCACATCTGCTTCTAAGCAACTCTGGAAATTTTTTTAAGTGGAAGCAGATCAAAACTAGTAATTAAAATAAGACCATTGTGGTTTATATTAATGTTGGTATTTAGCTTTCCCCTCTTTTATGTTTTTAATGGATTTCATTTTTTTCTCCAAAAGTTGCCATTGGTTTCTATTTGCTTGACACACATACATGCTTCTATTGCTTATAAAATAGTTTTTAAACCAATAACATTTACTCTGTGTGTGTGTGTTCATCTGTGTGTGCATGCATACGTATAAAAATAATTAGACCCAAGAATATAGCTTTGCCTCTTGCTTTCCAGCCTACCTTCCATTCCTACCTTCCTTTGTACAAGGTTATTTCCAGTGCTACTTTTGAACTTAAGAGTAAGATTTATTGATGAGAATTGAGGTATTTTAGGCTTGAAAAAAAATCCATCCCCTCCTTGGCCTATTCTGTTATAAGCAAGAAGATTGGAGGGCATGAATAGGTTACTTAGTTATCATTGCCTTCAGTGTCTCTCCCCCTCTTCATATACAAGAATGCACTCGAGGGTGCTCTTCACATTTTTCTTTAGGGCGTATCCTTGATCTGAAGACTGGAACAGTGAAAAAGGAAGGTCAGCAGTCTTCCATGAGGATGTGTATGGGCTCAAGGAGATCATTTATTTGCCGTATGAGGTGAGTGTCAAGCTGAAGTTTGTGATTTGACATAGGGAAAATTAAGAGCCGAGGGCTTGATTTCTGGTCAGAGGAGTTAACTCTTAAATCCAAGCTCCAGTTGGATTGAATTTAACTTTCAAGACCCACATGGGTTGTAACATACAATAAAGTGTCTGATACGGGAACTAACATTTACTAAACTCCTTTTCTGCCAGACATTATGATAGGTGCATTATGTCTGTCATTTCATTTCACACATCTGTCCTGTAGGGTAGAATCCATGGTTACTATTTTGCTGAGAAAAAGACTCAAAGAAATTAAATTCCCAGGATTGCATAGATAATGTCTGATACAGGATTTTATTTTAATCCGTAGTATTTGGACTCCAGAACCTATATTTTTTCTCAGTACATCATGAGACAACATCCATGTTTTCAGACCTTTGGGTTTTTCTTTTTTTGGTAGAAATTTGCGACTTTGTTATGTCTTTTAGTTAGTATTTAGTGTTTATAAATTTTATGCTGTAATATCTTAGGATTCTGAAGAAAAGGATTGTGGTACTTTCTACATAGATAGAAAAGACCTCTTAAAGTCACAAAATAGCCCGGCTGGGCATGGCTCGGTGGTTGAGCATTGACCTAGGATCCAGGAGATCACGGTTTGATTCCTGGTCAGGGCACATGTAGGGTTGTGGGCTCGATCCCCAGTAGGGGGTGTGCAGGAGGCAGCTAATCAGTAAGGACTCTTTCATCATTGATGTTTCCCTCTCTCTCTCTCTGAAGTCAATAAAGGTGTATTAAAAAAATAAAAATAAAACATCCTTTAAAGTCACAAAATAACTTCAGGTTGTATAATGGAAATTTAATACTTTGTACTGAGAATATACTTATTAGAAGTGATGAGTAGGATGTTAAGGTTTTCTAGGAAAATTGCAAAATTGAGTTGTGACTCTGGTTTAAAGTAGCTTCAGATCCAGACTACTGGATTTGCCACTTACTATCTTCTGAGATCTTGAGCAGATTAAATGACTACTTTGTGTTTTGATTTTATCATCTAGTATTGGGAGTTATATTAGTATCACCTTCATAAAGTTGTTATGAGGATTAGATGAATAAATATACATAAAGATACTTAACAATAGTTCATGACATATATTCTATGTAAATTTTATCTGTTATTTGATATGTGAGAAAGTAGAAAGGATGGGGTAGAGTGTCCCAATATGTGGACATGGCTAATGGAAAGACATAGGCAGGAACAAGATAAATAATCATGAAATGCAGCAAATAGATTGGGTTGCGGTACAGAGTCTGCAAACCATAACTCTTTATTTGTAAATAAAGCTTTATTGGAACAGTGTCGTCCCCATTTGTTTACATATTGTCTATGGTTGCTTTCATGCTATAATGGCAGAGTTGACTAGTTGCAACAGATTGTATGGCCCACAAAGCTGAAAATATTTATTATATGTCCCTTTACAGAAAAAGTATACTGACCCCTGATGTAGAGAATCTCTGCATTTGAAAAAGATGCAGAAAATTTCTACTTCAAATTCTAGCATAGTTACAAGTTTTGGAAATACCATACCTGACTTCTTTATGCTTGCTTGTTAGAAGCATTGTTAACAATTTTCTGTGTCTGGTTGTATCCAGAACCTATTATCTGGCTGTTAACAGATGAAAAGTTCTTTGATAATGTGGCTTAATTGCTTTTAATTTCTCTGTTCATTGAAACAGGTGTGGCAATAGCTCTGTGGACCCAGTTTCCATGAATAGACTGAGCTTTGTGAGGAACAGATGCAGGTGAGATTCTAAGCAGTGAGAAACCAAAGGGATGGCCAAGTACCTTTAGAGCTCATCACTTCAACTATTTTACTATTGTACTTTCTTCAGCAGTCCTCACCCTTATCCCTCACTCCTGGCAGTGTTTTCCTGAATTTTTAAAGCTGCTTTTGATTATCCTGTTTAAGAAAGTTGCCCTGCCACTTTATCTGCTTTCTCTCATTGTAGTACTTTTAAGTTGCTTTACTTTGGCAAGGGTCAACAGCAATATGATGGTCTCTTTTGGGAGGAAAAGATCCAAATATAGTTATCCTGTTTTCTAAACACCCAAGAGCCTAAAGTTAAGTTAAAGGTTCTAAATCAGCATTATCTTTTTAGTGTTACTAGACAGGGTTTTTCTCCTCACACCTGTAATTCTTCCAGGAATGGACTTGGCTCTGTGAAGGATGGGGAACCTCACTTCGTGGTGGTCCACTGCACAGGCTACATCAAGGCCTGGCCCCCAGCAGGTAGGAAAGTTGGATAGTGATTTTTCTCTTCATATAGCAGGTTCCTCAGAGTTCAAGAAAATTAGCTAACATTTACCATGTACCTAGTATATGAAATGTACTTTGGTATAAATTGTAAGAAAAGAGGAAAGAAAAAGTAGACTCCTTCCCTTCCTTTATGGATTTATATTCCAGTTGATGAGATCATTACTTAGACTTGAAAATGACTCAATGTTGGCTTCTCACAGAATGTAGTTTTTAAATGTGCAAATTCATCACAATGTATAAATACCTATGTTTAAATATTTGTGTGTAAAAAAAGTTGGCCTTGAATACAGTTAATTTGGGAACACTATCTAAATTAGGAGCAAGATTTTGCCCTTGGTGAGTGGTTCATTTGGTTGGAGTGTCATCCCATACACCAAAAGGTTGTGGGTTCGATTCCTGGTCAGGGCACAGACCTAGGTTGTGGATTTGAACCCCAGTCAGGGCGCGTACAGGAGGCAGCCGATCGATGTTTCTCTTTTTCTCTCTGCCCCTTCCTTTCTCTCTCAAATCAATAAAAACATATCCTTGGGTGAGGATAAATAAATAAATTAGGAGCAAGATTTTGAGGGAGAAGGGGGAAATGGCTTGATTGTAGTAACTTATAGAAGGAGTATTCTTTGCTAAGTCTTTAAATCAGGATGTGAGCAGATTGGCTTTACTAGAACTTGAAGTCAAACAGGGAATGTGAGAAAGGTGGTTGGGGTGCAGGGACCAGCCTTTTAAACTGTTTTTTCAGAATTTCCAAATCTTAGAAACTTTATTACTTCTCTGCTGGATGAGTATCATTTGGAAGTGGGTGTTGTAGGGAGACAGTAAGAGAAGAGAGGCAAGGTATTATATTTTGGTAAGAGATTAAACTTTAGATTTGGAAAGCCTGGATTTGATCCTGGCATTGTTATTTACTAGTGATATAACCTTGGGTAAATTGCTTGACCTTTGTAAAAAACCTCAATTTTCTCATCTGTAATTTGGAGATAATATATCCAATATATAATTATTGTGCCAGTTAGATTTAATGTAAGAAAAGCACCCAGCCCAGTGCCTGGCATATGATAGGCACCCAATAAATGGTAGTTAAATGTAATTAACTAATTTTAAGTAGTAATGGCCTTTGAACTTTTTAGTTTATATGCTATTGAAGTCATATATTTGAGGTATATACATGGTCTTTCATACTTCTGTATAGCTCTCAAAGCAATTCTATTTTTCTTGACAAGATAACTGCAAAGAGTGGAGAGGAAATGCAACCTCTTTCCTTTCTACATAAAAAAATGAAACATTGGCTTCTTCAGTCAGAGAAAGACAAATACTGTATGATCTCACTTATATGTGGAATTTAATGAACAAAATAAACTGATAAACAAAATAGAAACAGGCATGGATACATGGAACAGACTGATAGCTGTCAGAGGGGAGGGGAGACTGGATGAAAGAAGATGAAAGGATTAGCCAACAAACATATAGATAACACATAGACTAGACTACAGTGTGGTGATAGCCAGAGGAAAAGGGGGTGGGGACTAGGTGGAGGTGGGAAAAGGGGAGGCAAATTAGGACGGAAAGAGACTTTGCTTGGGATGATGGGTGCACAATGCAGTGTGTAGATAATATTTTGTTGAGTTGTACACTTGAAACCTATATGGTTTTGTGAACCAATGTCACCCCAATAAATTCAGTTAAAAAATAAAAGAAACATTGGCTTCTCTCTTTTCCAAAGGATATAAATAACTGTTGGTGTTTGGTTTTATTTCATTTTTGGTTGTTTGCTTGCTTTAAGTCACAGGTTGGGCAAGGCATCTTTTTTCTGTCTATGATATGGTCACAAAATGAATGGCTGTCTTCATATGTGTTTGGTTTGGCCAGCATAGTTTTTTAGAATATTTTGGGTGCAACCTGTATTCTGCAGTTTATTACAGTTAATATGGATAAAGTATATGAGTTTTATATATAAATACTTAAAACAGTACCTGGCATATATGGTAAATTCTGTGTGGTTGTTTACCTTTATTATTATTATTTTTAATCCTCACTTGAGGATCTGTTATTTTTTAAAAATTGATTTTCAGAGAGAGAGAGAGAAACATTGATGTGAGAGAGAAACATCAGCTGATCACCTCTCACACACACCCTGACTGGGATCAAACCTGCAACCTAGATATGTGCCCTGACTGGGAATTGAACCTGCAACCTTTTGGTGTATGGGATGACACTCCCCAACCAATGGAACCACCTGGCCAGGGCCCTTTATTCTTTTTAAAAAAAATTATTTTTATTTTTTTATTCCAAGCACCTTTTTAAAATTTTTTTTAAAACTAAGCACTTATTTTCCTTTAAACTTTTTTGATTTTTTAATTCTCTTTTAAAAAAATTATAGTTCACATACAATATTATATTAGTTTCAGGTGCACAACCCAAAGATGTGACATTTGTATACTTATGAAGTGATCACCATGATAGGTCTAATAACCATTCGTCACTGTACAAAAGTTATTACAATATTATTGACTATGTTCACTATGCTGTACATTATATCCCTGTGACTTATGTTATACCTGAGAATGTGTACCTCTTAATCCCCTCACCATTTTTGCTTATTCCCGTATCCCAGCCCTCAGTGTGTTTTCTGTATCTGTGAGTACCTTTATTCTTATTGTTTAGCACTCTTTATTGTTTTATACCTAGCCTCTTCATACCTACATGTACTTTAAATCTTTACCTATCTGACTTGGAAGGCAGTTGAGTTTGAGATCCCTATTAAATCTTTTTAACTTTGCCTTCCTAAAGGTGTCTCCCTCCCAGATGATGACCCAGAGGCTGGCCAGGGAAGCAAGTTTTGCCTAGTGGCCATTGGCAGACTGCAGGCAAGTATGGATTTTCCAAGTCTACTTCATCCCTTTTCAGTGAGAAGAAATCTCCTTCAGGACTTGTTGATGTTATTTTTCTTTTACTCTCTGAATACAAATGAACAAACAGTGCTGTAAAACTCCACATATTTGGAGGAATATGGCATTCATAGTTAGCATTGCTTCTCTTGGATTTAACAAGCTGAAGAGGATGAGAGAGGGAGGGAGATCTTTTCCCCTTATTTTTCATATATTCAGCTTTTCAATGCTGAGTTTTCTATTTTCAACTAATTTTTTTTGCCTGTACACAAAAGAAGAGACTCCCCCCCCCATTTTATTATTACGTGACTAACAAAAGAGAAGTGGAATTATTTTGATTCTTCTCATAAAATAGATAAGTTTCTGGTTACTTGGGACTATAATTTCCCAATGTGAGTAATGAACACAGCCTAGCTAAATGAAGATAGGTGGTGGGCTTTGGGTTGAATGAATTTTTATCTTACAAAGTTGTTAAAGAGTACATGTGTGGGTGTGGGGCCAGGCCTTAAACCCTCTCTGGTTGTGATTGCCATTTTTTCCTTCCTGCATGAGGTGTGAAAGTTTTGAAATTCCTAAAACTAAGACATGGGAGCCTCATGTCTATGTAAATGACCATGAGGTGGTAGGAAATATATCTATAAAGAATGGTGTTATTTTATCTCATTTTGTCTCTTTACTTTCAGGTAACTAGTTCTCCCAACTGTACAGATATGAGTAATGTTTGTCAGCCAACGGAATTTATCTCTCGACACAACATTGAGGGAATTTTCACCTTTGTGGATCACCGCTGTTTGGCTACTGTTGGCTACCAACCACAGGTGAGGAGCTGGAGCTTGAAGCTATTACACCACAGATACTTTGGCCTCTTGTTTTCCCTTGGCTGTGTTGAGATTATTCAATGATGTAATTCCACAGATAGCCAAACATGTCATCCCCCAGCTCAGAGCTAAATTTATTCTGTCAGCTAAATTTATTCTCAGTAGTTGAATTTATTCTCAGCTTCTTACCAAAGTTACCATTCAGTCTAGAAAAATAGGGCTTCTGAAGCCAGGTGCGAGCAGCAGGTGCAGATATATATATTTTTGTTAATGGTATTAATGTGGATATTGATGCAGAAGTGCTTATTTTAATTAGTTATAATGCTATGGCCACCTTTTGATAATTCATCTAATTTGCCTAGATGAATAGTCACCCACTAGTTGTTACGATTTTATGTAGATTTCTCATTCAGCAGGTCAGGTCATTATATAAACATTCAAAACTATAGTGGCTAGGAGGCAGTTCTGGCTATGGCTGTGTGAAGGGGTTGGTGAAAAAGCGGTCTTGAAAGAGAAGAACAAAGTTGGAGGATTTACACTACTTGGTTCAATACCTATCACAAAGCCATTGTTATCAAGCCAGTGTGGTATTAGTATAAGGATAGGTACATAGATCACTAGACCAGAATAGAGTCTGTTCTCACATGGTCAACTAATTTTCAACAAAGATGCTAAGAGAATTCAATGAGGAAAAGAAATCTTTCAAACAAATAGTAATGGAACAATTGGATATCCATATGCTATAACAAACAAAAACTTAGATTCTTATAAAACTTTTAGAAGAAAGTAGGAGAAAATCTTTGGATCTTGAGTTGGACAAGATTTCTTATATGACAATAAAAGCATGATTTACAAAAGAAACATTGATAAATTTGATTTCATCACATGTAAAATTTGCCCTCTTAAAAAAGGACATTGAGAAAGTTAAGGCCCTGGCCAGGTAGCTCAGTTGGTTGGAGCTTTGTCCTGATATGCCAAGGTTGTAGGTTCGATTTACAGTTGGCATGTACAAGAATAAACCAATGAATGCTAAAATAAGTAGAAAAACAAATCAGTGTTTCTGTCTCCCTACCCCACCCCCCAAAACCAAGAAAAAAAGAAAATGAAAAGATCAGCCAGCCACAGACTGGGAGAAAGTTTTGCAAATCATATGTCTGAAAAAGGATTTGTGTTCAGAATGTATGAAGAAGTCTTATAATTCATTAAGACAGCCAGTAAAAAAAGGGCACAAGATTTGAATAGACATTTCATTAAAGAAGAAACAAGAATGGCACATAAAAGGATGTTCATCATCATTAGTCATTAGGAAAGTGCAAATTAAAACCACAGATATTCATACCACTGTATGCCCACTAGAATAGTGGTCTATAATCAGGCAGTGCTCTCAGTGTTACCGCAATTTTAAAATTTTAATTAAAAAAGCTCTTTATATTAGTATTGGCAAGAATGTGGAGAAACTGGAACCATTATACATTGTTGGCAGACATATAAAATGGTATAGCCACTTTGGAAAAACATTTTGGCAGTTTCTTAAAAAGTTAAACATACACTTATCCCACAACCTACCAATTCCACCCCTAGGTTTACCTAAGAGAAAAGAACCCATTGGTTCACATAAAAATTTATACACAGATATTCATAGCTATGTTATTCATAATAGCCAAAAAGTGAAACAGTTTAAATATCCATTAACTAGTGAATGGATACTCAAACTGTGGTATATTCATGTAAGAATACTGCTGAGCAGTAATAAGGAATATACTGTTGGTACATGCATGCAGTAACATAGATGAACTTCAAAAATATGTTAAATGAAAGAAGCCAGAGATAAAAGACTACATATTGCATGATTCCATTTATATGAAATTTCTAGAAAAGGCAAAGCTAAAAAAGCAGAAAGCAGATTAGTGGTTGGCTAGAAAATTGGGAGCAGGGCTTGACTATTAATTGGGCACAAGGGAACTTTTTGGGGCAGTGGACATGTTCTAAAACTGGATTGTGGTAATGGTTTCATAGCTGTACAAATGTACTACAGATCATCAAATTGTATGCTTAGAATGAGTAATTTATATATGTAAATTATAACCTCAAATTTGTAAAAAAATGCAGTTATAATAAACATACAATGTTCTAAAAAAAAAATGCTCTAGAGGCCAGTTGTTTAGCAGATTCCATCTTTTATTTGTTTGTTTGTTTGTTTTCCTTCCACACTTATCTATAGTCCTAGGATAAAGACAGGAGAAATAAAATCCAAGTCACCTGCTAATGGACCAGGAAAGTTAGATGCTCATAAAAGTGTTGATCTTACTCTTTTCCCTTTTTAGGAACTCTTAGGAAAGAATATTGTAGAATTCTGTCATCCTGAAGACCAGCAGCTTCTAAGAGACAGCTTCCAACAGGTAACTTTTTTTCCTGGTTTGGGTCTGAGTAATATTTTTATCTAATATCTGTTATCACATTCATTCGACAAATACTGACCACTAATTAATCGAATACTGTGGCAGACACTACAATTTTACATTCTTCAGTACTTAACCTGTATTTTTAAGGAACAGAAGAGGAACAGTCTTTGAAATTGTGAGTAATGTCCAAAGCATTTTTGTTCGGCTGTGGCTACTCACTGTCTTGAATCTAACTAGCTACATCCAAGGGACTGTCTTTAAAGTATTTAAAATATTCTACACTTTACTGAACTGTGGATAATATTAGAAAATTTCATTTTACAGTTCTTTTATAGATACATGAGAGTTGACTCCTAATTGTAAGATGATTCTTTAATTGTAATTTTCAGGCCCTATATCCTAAAAACATCTGGTGAATTAGCAGTTCTTACTTTATATTAGACCAGTTAATTTGCCTCTTTATGCCTCAACAATGTCCTCACTGATACAAGGGGTATTATAATAGTACTTAAATTCAGAGGGTTTTGGGGAAGATTAAATAATACAGTTAAGCACATAGCCCAACTTCTAGAGGAAATCAGACAATGACAGTAAAAAGTCTCTGTCTTCTGAGTTCTCACTATTACCAGTTGCATCCACTCATCTGCAGCTCACAGAAGGATCACGTTTCATGTATGTATAGACTTGGAAAATCTAGTCTGACTTCTGTGGAATCATTCAAAGCTAAGAACGTGAACCAGTGTGAGAAGATATTGTACAGTATATTTTAAATCCATGAAATTTATAATTCTGATGCTTTTTGCCACAGAGTAGTATCATTTTATCGCTTCTGGAAAATGTTTATTCCAAAACAGCTTTAATGGTCCATACATACACTCCATAATCTCAAGGTGGTTATTCTGACATCAGTTGTTGCTGTGATTTTAGAGTATATAAATGAAGGTGCTTTTTAATGTGCGATATACAGCTGCTTACTTAGTTGCTGCTTTCCAGATGTTGATGGATTTTTATTTCTTTTCAGCCCATTAATTTAGAAATATCCAATGAAGCTTGCTTTTCTTTGTTTTCCCCATTTTGGTTACTTCAGTGCTTTGTTTCACACTTGATTTATAAAAGTTTTAGACACATATTTGAAATGTGCCATTTTATTATTGCCAAGTATGTCCCATTTTCTGCTATAATTATTTCTCAGTCAGTTTGTAACATCAGCAGTTACTACTACACTCATCAGTCAGTTTGTAATATCAGCAGTTACTGCCACACTCATTTAAACATAAGTGTTTTCACTTTTTCTTAAAAAACAATTTAAAGTGTAGATATTTCGAAGTACTGGGCTTATGCGTCAGTGGAATAGATATATACAGCAATAAGCATGTTTTCAAACCCAGTACTTAGTTTGTGTACAAATGTATTATATTCATTTTATAGATATTATACAGTGAGTACATTTAAGTTTTAAAGGCTGCTTACTATTGTTTAAATGCAAATGTTCACATCACATTTTTTTTATCATGTTAAGTAAATGTTGATGTTCTTAAAAAGCACAAGGCCAAGTGGTTGACATATAGAAACTATACAATAAATATTAGCTGCTAATATTACTTTTTCATTGTTAGAGAGGGTCAGAAGATTATTTCCTATTAGACGAGAAACTAAAATCTAAAATTAGTTTCTTTTGAAAAACTAAGGCAAAATAAGACTAAAGCCAATTTAGTTTATAGAAACCTCCATGGGTGCTGTGAGAACAGAAATTCTTAGGTTTGGGGGGAAAAGTATGATTAAGGAGCAACATGTAGGCTATAATGTCATTAAACATAAATTTCCAGTATAGACTTGTCAAGCTAGATCAGCATTATCTTTGAGGGGCTTTCCAAGGGAAGTGGGGAAACATAGTCTTGTCTTTCCTGGAAATAATTGTTGTTCTATTTGACTTTGACTAGAGAGGTCAGATGGCTTGGGATTCTGGGAAGAAACATGATAAATACATATCCTAATTACTTAGTCACTTAGTTTTCACTCCTTATGTTGTTTTGTTAATTACATTGAAAGAGACTGATACTTTAAGGTCAGTGACACAAGAATCTTAGGGTTGTAGAGTGGGAATTTTATTTTTTATTTTTCTAGGGTTAATTTTTTTATGAGTTTCACTGATAGCATGAAAAATTTTTCAGGTGGTGAAATTAAAAGGCCAGGTGTTGTCTGTCATGTTCCGGTTCCGGTCTAAGAACCGGGAATGGCTCTGGATGAGAACCAGCTCCTTTACTTTCCAGAACCCTTACTCAGATGAAATTGAGTACATCATCTGTACCAACACCAATGTGAAGTATGTACCATAAGGCCTTTCCATTGTTGGGATTTCTCCTGCTTACCTCCTTCTCTTCTTTCCTAGTAGTAAATACCTTTAGTTTGAAGTTCCTCATCTTCTAGCTTCTTACAATTTAGGTAGAATAAGATTTTAACAATAGTTTAGAGACTAGGTTCTGAGATGTGAAGAGTTTGTATTTCAATTTTATGTTTCAGCCCTTGCTAGAAAGGATTTTGTGTTATATACCAGCTTATTGCTATAGTCTGGCAGAATTTTTCTCTACAGCAGATGTCTGAAGACGCTTCCTGTAAAAGGCCAGATAGTAAATAGTTTAAAGGCTTTGTGGGGCATACAGTCACTATTGCAACTATTCAGCTCTTGTTACAGCATAAAAATAGTTCTAGATAAATAAAATGATCAAAGATATCTATGTTCCAACAAATTTTATTTACAGAAACAGACAATGGATAGATTTGGCCCATGGACCATAGTTTGCTTTAGAGCATGGCTCCATCCATTTTTTTGTTAGTCTCTTTTCTATCTATATACCTTGATTTCTTTCTGTTTGAGCTTTCTTTCTCAGCTTTGTAAAAAACAACAACAGTTTTATTGAAATAGGTTTCACATACAGTTCACCTATTTAAAGTGTACATATTTTTAAAGTATGTCACAGGGTTGTGCAACTTTTACCACAATCTAATTTCATTCCCCCTAAAAGAAATCCTGTACTCATTAAGTCACCAACCCCATCCCAAGACCTGTACAACAACTAATCTCTGTCTCTATAAATTTACCTCTTCTAGCTAGACATTTCACATAAGTGGAATCATATAATACATGGTTCCTTTGTGACTGGCCTCTTTCACTTAGTATAATGTTTTAAGGGTCACCCATGTTATAGCATGTATCTGTACTTTATTTTTATTGCCAAATATTCTGTTGTATGGATATACCACATTTTATTCATTTATTAGTTGATGGACATTGAGTTGTTTCCACTTTTTGGCTGTTAAGAATGCTGCTTGCTATGAACATTTGTGTACTAGTTTTTGTGTGGATATGTTTTTATTCTCTTGAGTGTATATGCAGAAGTGGAATTGCTGGTCACATAGTAACTCTCTATGTTTAATCTTTTGAGGAACCTCCCAACTCTTTTCTAAAGCTCCTGTACCATTTTACATTCCTGTCAGCAGTGTATGAGAATTCTAGTTTCTCCACATTCTGGCTCTTTTTTTTATTGTACCTATCCTAGCAGGTGTAAAGTTACTTCTTTAATCTCTCTGTGTAGAATTGGCTTTGAATCTATCACTTGAAGATCTGATTGTATAAATAATTAGCAATATGAATAGCACCTGGTGATATTGAGTCTGTATCCGACAATTCAATAACAGAACATCTATTGTTTTGTGTTTTCATTTTGTTTAAATTTTGAAGTCTTTTTAAGAACTTTTTTCCAGAAATAATGGCTTTCCTCATTTTCACATAGAGTTTTCCCCACTACAATTAATTTTAATTATTAACATTTAAAAATAAATATTCTTCATAGAAAATTTGGAAAGCATTGAAAACTATAAGAGAAAAAAAATTTACTACCCAGAGATAGTCTTTTTTATGTTTCAGTATATGTACTTTCTGTTTTTTACTTTAGCTTTTAAAAAACACTATGTATGTATATACTCGCACATCCACACAACTAGGTACTGAATACCTAAGAAGAGTTAGAACCCAAACAGGGTGAACCCTTGTGCCATAGGACATAGTGTCTCTTTGTACCATGTCCATAGTATGAATTATTTGTTGAATCTGAGGTCTTAGGTTATCTTTAGGATTGGACTTAAAAGGGGAATTTATTAGGGATCACCTCACCTACAGGTGAATATAAAGAGGTTTATATACAGAGTTAGATACATTTTTTTCTGTTTTACCTACTCTCCATTTTCCCAGGAACTCCAGCCAGGAACCACGGCCTACACTGTCCAACACAGTCCAGAGGCCACAACTGGGTCCCACAGCTAATTTACCCCTGGAGATGGGCTCAGGGCAGCTGGCACCCAGGTGAGAAATTGATGGAAGAATCATTTATTGAGCAGTGACTAGCCCAGGGCTGTTTGCAATCCCATCATTTTTTGTTTATTTTTTTAAGCCTTTTTCCCAGATTCTTGTTAAAAATATTTTTTTCCTATTTCTCTCCTCACTGGCCTTAACATATAGGCAGCAGCAACAGCAAACAGAATTGGACGTGGTACCGGGAAGAGATGGACTGGCCAGCTACAATCATTCCCAGGTTAGTGTGTCTTTGAAGAGGGACCATGAGAAATATTTTTCAGTGCCAGTTAGACTATAAATGTGTCTATATGATTTTTAGAGTTATTGAATTGTCCTATTAAACCTTTCGTGGTTATTTTTGTAATTGTATTCCACAGGTTTCTGTTCAGCCTGTGACAACCACAGGTCCAGAACACAGCAAGCCCCTTGAGAAGTCAGATGGTCTGTTTGCCCAGGATAGAGATCCAAGATTTTCAGAAATCTACTCCAACATCAGTACAGGTATGCTTTTTACTCGTGCTCCTTTTAAATTCTCATTTTAATCACTTGCTGATGGGGCTGCTGCTGCCCAATTAGTAGTCTTCCAACATATTTCCACTTAGTCATAATACCTCATGAGTAAATAGAACTTACTGAACTAATATACTACAGCCCCTTGACTGGCCCTTCCCCCCACTCCTTTTGGTCCACAGATCAGAGTAAAGGCATCTCTTCCAGCACTGTCCCTGCCACCCAACAGCTATTCTCCCAGGGCAACACATTCCCTCCTACCCCCCGGCCGGCAGAGAATTTCAGGTGAGCCCCATATGTGTGTGCTGCTTTAAGGGCAACTAAGGGATTCAGTTGCTGAATCCAAGTTTTATTCTTCCCTAGCTTTCTCTGGTTATTTCAAACAAAGCGGTGAAACTTCCAGGGCCTAGGATGAGGCAAGCTGCTTTTCTTCCTCTTGTTTCTTTTCACCTTGCCTATTCCCATGTTCTAGGTTCCATCTCTGTGTGTCCTGATTAGTGTGTGACTTTCAGTCTTTTCTGATCTTTTCCAAATTCTATTATCAAGTTTTCTTAACCCCAGGAAACTCAAGGGAATCTGAGGATAGCACTAGATTATCCTATGATTCCTAGAATCTGTGATAAACCCATCCTTTTAATCCTTGACCTTAACTATTTGTTCACACCTAGAAATAGTGGTCTGGCCCCTCCTGTAACCATCGTCCAGCCATCAGCTTCTGCAGGGCAGATGTTGGCCCAGATTTCCCGCCACTCCAACCCCACCCAGGGGGCAGCCCCAACTTGGACCCCCAGTACCCGTCCAGGCTTCTCTGCCCAGGTACAGTTTCTCATCTATCTGTCCCGTGTATTGTTTTTTTTTGTGTGGTTGGTTAGGCTTTTTTCCATGAATTAAGTTGTTGTTTATCTTAGGCTCCTTTTCCTTACCCCCACCACCCGCCTTCTGATTTTTCCCTTGCTTGGGAACAACTAGATAATTAAAAACCATGGATAATCCCGACATTTGTGGCATTTACACCCACTTTAAATCAGAATTACTTGCATAGGACATCTTGAGCAGGTATGACTTTCACATGTAGAGTAAATTCTAAGAGGTTTCCACTTTGGTTAAGACTACAAAATACAGGAACAAAGGAGAAAATTAGTTACAAATTTACACATAGTGATGTCTATTTACAAAAAAAAGTGTTGAAAAGTCCTTCTCTACTATATATGTGTATATATACTATGTTAAGCCTAAAGCTGATGCTTTCATATAATAATAAATGTATATTAATATATAATATATAGCATGCATTCATTATATATTATAACACATAATGTATATTAATAACATAAATATAAATGGTAATTTTATTTTAATCCTCACCCAAGAGAGAGACATTGATTGGTTGTTTCCCACACAAGCCCCAAACCAGGGCTGGGATCTCACCTGCAACCCTTCGGTGAGCAGGCCGATGCTCTAACCATTTAGCCACTCACCAGGGCTAAATGTATACTTTTATTAATTTCATGGGTCTTTTCTTTTTGCACTTTTTCACAACTGCTTAAAAATAGTGTCAAGGGAAATTGGGGGTTAGTTGGAAGAAATATACAGTAGGAAGTTGCTGAGCTTGGCTCAGAAGAATACAGTGATTAACAGAGAGTTGACTCTCATAAGAGTGACATGCGCAGTAGTTTTAATGTTCTATTTATTGTTCTCTACTCATTGCTCTCAGCAGGTGGCGACCCAGGCTACAGCCAAGACTCGTTCTTCACAATTTGGTGTGGGCAGCTTTCAGACTCCCTCCTCCTTTAGCCCCATGTCCCTCCCTGGTGCTTCCACTGCATCGCCTGGTGCTGCTGCTTACCCTACTCTCACCAGTCGTGGATCCAACTTTGGTGAGTTCAGACCAGATGGGTAAAAGGAAAATCACAGCACTAAAGAGAAAGGATTTGGTAGTTAAAATGGTTTGCTATGCATTGGGCTAATTATGAGGAAATGTAAGGTATTTGGTATTTAAAACCTACCCACATGAAAAAGACTTTCACACATATAACAAAAACATATAAAGTATTATGAATTTAATAATATGCAAATTTAATCTGAAATGAGCAAAGGATTCTTTGGAACAGCTCCCTAGAGAAGAAAAATAATTTGGGTTGGGTTTTGAAACAGAAGAGGCATTGATGGGCAGAGAGAAGAGCAGAAGGTTTCTAGGTAAAATTAATGACTTGCATGTAGTTATGTGCTAGATTTTCCTCTCCAGTGGAATTAGTAGATTGAAGTTTATTCTTCGTCATTAGCTCCTGAGACTGGACAGACTGCAGGACAATTCCAGACACGGACAGCAGAGGGTGTGGGAGTCTGGCCACAGTGGCAGGGCCAGCAGCCTCATCATCGTTCAAGTTCTAATGAGCAACATGTTCAACAGCCATCAGCACAGCAGCCTGGCCAGCCTGAAGTCTTCCAGGTGAGAGGATGAAAAGACTTTAGAAAATCAGAAACTGAGAGAGAAAAGGCAGGAAAGAGAGGCAGAGGAAGCATGCATGGATTAGGATGTGAGTGGGAGAAGACAGTGGGGACATTGTGGGGATGGATAATTGTCATTAACAGGAAAGATTGTGAACTTAGCATTATATGCACCTTTAACCAGACCATAGTGAGTGATGTGCAGCACCTTGCAAAGATGTCAAAGAAAGTAATCCTAGCCCACTCAAGGAGAACCACATACCCACTTCACAGAAGCTTGGGTGTAAATATACTGATTATAGTTATAAAGGTCTATTTACATAGTCCTAAGGGAACTGCAAGACTGAGTGGAGTAATATTAGGTAAGACAAAGGAAGAGCTAGTTTAAAACAGAGGTTGAAAGAAGGCAAAACAGGTTTTGTTAGAAAACAAAGAGGATAAGAGATACTCCATTATATACCTATAGGGGGGTTATATGAAATGTGGCCAGCAGATTTTTCCCCTTTTGAAAATACTGAGGACTAGAAAAGAGGGAAATGTGGAACTGTAGGGGGAAGACAGAGAAGGGACTAGGCAAAAAGGTGGTCATCTAAAGGAGTCAGAGTTGCCGGGACTTAGGAAGGCTAAGGGAACTCCTCAGCATGGCAGAAACTCATTGGGGCCGGGAATGATGGCTCGGGGCAGTGTCGGGAAGGGAGCTTGGTAAATCTAAGGGATCAAGGTTTGTGACCCAGACTTGTTTTTCTCTTATTAGGAGATGCTCTCCATGCTGGGAGACCAGAGCAACAGCTACAACAATGAAGAATTTCCTGATCTCACTATGTTTCCCTCCTTTTCAGAATAGAACTGTTGGGGTGAGGATAAAGGGGTGGGGGAGAAGAATTACCATTTGTTTTTAAAAAACAAATCTTTTTGTAAACAGAATAAAAGTTCCTCTCCCCTCCCTTCCCTCACCCCTAATGTGTACCCCCTTTCACTTCTGGCCTTTCCCTTGCCCGCCTGCCTCTCCGACATAATTTATAGATGAGATGGAGTGAATCCTCAAGGCTTTGGGGACCCTTTGAAAAATTGAGGCTGGGTGAGGTTAAAAATGCCTTTCCTTATGTCTCCTGACCAGAAATTTGTACGGAGGTGGTTTATGCTAGGGTCAAGGGGCAGATTAGAGAACCTGACGTCCACTATTTGCCTTGTACTATGGCTTGTTTTTGGAAAGAAATTCTGAATAAGGTGGGGGAGAGGAGAAATGTCCTCATATTGGAGGACCATGAAACATGGTAGGTATATATGGGGCTTTAGGAAGTGAGAATGTGTTTGCTGCTGCCTGCGAGCAGTTCCTCTGGAAAGAAATGTGAGTGAGGTGAGGAAGTAAGAGAGAAGAGTGTGTGTGAGTGTGTGTGTGTGTCTACATACGTGTACGTGAGTTTCTGTGTTTGTTTCTCCCTATTAGGGAGTTATGCAAAATTTGTCCCAGATTTTATCTTTGTCTTTCTCTGTGTTTTTCAAAGAGTCCTAAGGAGTTAAATCTTCCAGGTATTTTCCACTTAGTATTGCAGCCAAAGAGTATTTAAATAAATGTCTTTGCTATACTTACATCTGTGCCCAGCCAATATGCAAGTGTAAGCAAATATAAAAAATTATCTGTTGATATGGTTGGTCTCTCATCAGACATATTTAGTGATAAAGCTGGGTCATTCCTGCTTTTGGTGCTCTCACCTTATATGGAAGATCTGCAAACGTTACAGGAATCGGCTGGCAGGATAAACACTTTCAGAAACCCCATACTTGGCCATAAGGATAATGCTGCATTTTTCTGTCAGAATTACATATGTGTGTTCTATGGAGGTTATTTCTGCATGGAAACTCAACTTCTTGGATTAGCAGTCCCAGTGAAAACCCTCACTGGTGGAGTTTAAACCAAATACCAAGTCTTCTTGCAAAGTAGCCTCTTTCATACTATTCTCAAAAGTATCCAGTCTGCCAAGAAACTGAGATTTAGGTCTTTTCTGGGCCTATAGCTCTTTCCTCTTTGCTCCCTCTCCAATCTTGAGATTAGATTTTGCTTTGTAGTACAAATGTAATAAATCCATGTGATAGATGGGGCCTGGACTCCCATCCTGACAGGGTCACTTAGTAATTAACTATAGCCATATAAATATGGATACAGGTTACACTATCACTCTCTACCTTCCTCAGGTAACAGTTATGTGTATCAGCCGTTGTTTTTTGTTTTTGTTTTTGTTTTTTTAAATTGGCTCAGGCCAGTATTGTAAGTGCAAGACTGAATTAATAAGAAGACATTTTAAATGTAGCCATAGGGGACTGAGGAGCACAGGTGGCCTTGTAGAGGCTGAGAGAATGTCATTATGGGGTTTCCTTCCTTTTGTCTCCAGTCTGGTGCCAGATAGTGAAGTGGAAAAGGAGACAGTTTATTTTTTTATTCTATGTGCACATATACAGTATACATATATATTTATATCACAATTTAAGAAACCAAAAAGTTGAGTTTCCAATGAAATCCTTGTTTTTTAATAATCGCCTGTTTTTAAATGTGATCAGGACTATAATATTGTATAGTTATTATAGGGCTTTGGGGGAGGGGAGGGAGAAGAAGCTCTGGGGGTTTTGTTTCTGCTTTTCCTTCAGGGTTTTATTTTTGATTGTTTTGGGTTTTTTTCTTGTTGGCCATTTCTGTATTGCTGGCATCTGTGCTGAGCCTTACAGTGGCAAAAATAATGACATGTAGCAAGTATTTTAAAACAAAATATTTTTCCTTTTGTAAACTTTGTGTTGTGTCCTCTTGATTGTGGCTCTATTCCTTTGCAGCTCATAAACAACAAACACCTACAACTAGTTGATTCCATGTCTTTAGCTCCAAATATACAAACATAAAGCACAACATGTCTATAATTTCAGAAATGGGAAATCATAGGGCTCTGATCACTCAGCATACCTTGGTTGTCCTCCTGATACTGACTCATTCTGAGTGAGGTCAGTAGGGACATCTGATCGTGGGATGGGATTGGGGATTGCCAAAGTCTTCGTGAGAGGGGAGAATTGGGACTAGAGACCAGTTGGACTTATCTGAATTCCTTCCCCCAGTATGTCACACTCTTCTGGATGCAAAGGAATTAGGGATGGGAAAATTTAAACTATTGCGGTCTGGACCTGGTTTCCCTCTAGGTTCATTAGCAAATCTTAAAATGCATAGGCATAAACTGGTGTTCTTGAGAGTTGATGTATGTAATCTAGCCAGAAACTGAATCTAGATCCCATGTATTATCCTTTCTGCTCTTCCCCCACATCGGTTTATGGAAGAATATGGAGTTTGGGAGTGTGGCTTAGGGACTAGACTAGACTCATGATCTGTCACATGCCTGGATATTGGGGGAAGTGTGTGGAGAAGCTCATGACTGGACCTGGGTTGGGGATTTTAGTAATAGAGACAGATAATGTTCATCAGGCATCCCGTCAATGTTTTAGCAACAAAGAAGTCACATGTGAGTTTGTCAGTGCCGTGGCATTGATTCATGTGCTGTCATAAATTACCAAGAATACTGGTTTTGGTTACTTTTAGAACTAGTTGCATCTGGACTTTCTGGGCATATCCTTCCTCAGCAAAACTATGTTAGGCTGGGAGAGCTATTCCTGTGCATGGAAGCAATGACAGTGGTTAACCAACAAGCTTATAAATACAAATGATTTTGGAGCCTATGGCTTCCCTTATATACTCCTTCCTAGTCATTTTTACTTATTCCCTCATCTCTGATGTGTCAGATACAAATTCAAAAACAAGTTCTAAAGTTGGAGAGGTGGATAACAGGAAAAGATATAATCCACCAATGTAATAATAAGACTAGGACTGTCCCTCTATCCACCAAAAAGAAGGCAATCCCCAGCTTGAGTGTGTATTGAGGTCTATTTTTTGTCTACCCTCAAAGACAGTCAATCTAAAAGCAGCTCTCCACCTTGGCTTGCACACTCCACATACAGACACAGACACTGCAAATTCGCTGCCTCCTTCCCTCCTCCCTAATCCCCCGTCTCAGCATTTCTGTCCCTGCCTCCCTCCCCTATCCGAGATTTCCAGCCAACAGCTGGCGCTGACTTCCGCAATTCGGATGGAATAAATCCTGCACTCCTGGTCATCCGCCCACATCAACACTTCCTTGCAGAAACGAGCCCAGAGGACAGATGCCCATCAGCAGGTAACATTTTCAACTCCTAGCTCTTTAGGCTTTTCATTCCTGCCAATTCTGCACTTTCGGGGTGTTAGGGATGTAGTAACTTGGGGATCAAAATGAAATTTGTGGGCTATTGTGCATGAAAACAGTGATGATGCCTGCTTTAGGTCATTTCCTGGCCAAATAAAATCTGCCCGGAAACCTTTAGGATTACTTCTATGATTTGTATGTATACGTGGTTGCTAGTAAAAGCAAAAATACAGGAATCCTTTACTATGCTTCACTTTAAGAGTGGCCTCTGGAGTTTTCTGTTTGCGCCAAGGGTACCGAAAGGGTTAACTTGTAGTGGGAGGTGGAGTGGTGGAGGCAGGTGGTAGCTCAGTACTTCCTACTCTGAGACATCTCAAAGCCCTTAACCCTCCACACATTAAATGTGCTGTGTATTTGCCAGTTTGCAAAGATTATATAAAAATGGGCTATAAATTCAAAAATTATGCGAGCTATACGACTTGGTACAGACTAAATTGTTCTTAAAATGGAGGACACAAAATTAAGCCACTGCAAGGAGTGAAGCTAGAGCAGACTTCTGGAAAGCTGTGTATTTAATGATCACAGAACATTGCTTTGTCTTACATTCTTTTAATAAACTTCAGTTCTGAGGCTTTTTGTCCTGTGAGGCAGTCACAGAGGCTTTTGTCAGAAAAATAAGAAAACCTTCCTGCCCACAGCAGCTGGTTGAGATTAGGACTGCTTCCTGCCTGAGGAGGGAGAGGAAGAGAAAGGAGGAAGGAATGCGTAAGACTAAGGAGACAGCCGGGCTCTCGTGGCTCAGCAGTTGAGCATTGACCTATGTCCTAGGAGATCGTGGTTCAGTTCCTGGTCAGGGCATATGCCCGGGTTGGGGCTCAGTCTCCCATTAGGGGACTTGCAGGAGGCAGCCGATCAATGACTCTCATCACTGGTATTTCTCTCCCGCTCCCTTCCTCTCTCTGAGATCAATAACGATATATTAAAAAAAAGACTAAGGAGACAGTAAAATACTCTCTCATAATTAGGGAATAGGAAATACGGTCAGCTTTTCCCTTGCCTTCTCCTGGCAAGGTCTGGAAAAATGTCAGAACTTAGGCATGGAAAAGAAGAATGCCTTGAAGAATTTATCTGGAAGCAAAACATAGCAGGCAGTCTTTCCTTTTGTGTGTTCTCCGGCCACCGTCATCCACCCTGCACTTACCTACTTAATCTTGCCCATCTTTTCCAAGTCTGCGGATATTGGAGGAGACGGATGCTGAGCTCATGCTGATTATCCATTTTCTACCCTGTTTCTGGTTGTCAGTGCAAGTGTGTGTGTGTGTATGGATTGAATCTCTCTAGTTCAAAACACTTGGAACCAGAAGTATCTGCACCCCAACCAAACCCAGACCCCTCCTGACTATCACTGTTTGGTTAGTCATATGGAAATCACCTTCAGTTGTTTGTCTATCCCCAGTTTTCCTTTGCTTCATGAACTCCCTTGAATTATTGTGTGTGCATGCATTTTCCTGGTGACAGGGATTATATAGTGGCTTGCAAATTTTTATTAGCTTCTCAAAGGTTCCAAAAGGTTAAGAACCACCTGTCTGGGAATATGGCTCCAGGTATTCCTCCTCCTAAGCCAGGCTAGAACTTTCTTGGCAAATAGAAGAGTCTCCCCTAATTATCCCCTTCCCTAGGATGTGGGGGTTTGAGGTTCTGTTGTTGCTGCCCATGGTGAGCTCTGCTCTCTACCCTGAGGAGATACTGGACACCCAATGGGAGCTATGGAAGAAGACCTACAGGAAGCAGTATAACAGCAAGGTGCTGGGTGACCTGGAGGGGAGCATGGTGGGAGGGCTGAAACCTGAGACCTCCAGTCCTAGCTTCCAGACTCCCTTCTATCCAAACGCTTGAACACTCCAACCAAGCAAACCTGCCCTTGTTCCCCGTTAACATAGTTTTTATTCCTATACCTCAAGTCACCATCAAATCCTATCCTTACTTTTCTTGATATTTTTCTTTGGGGAAGACTTCTCACATTAATGCCATAAGCAACTTTTCTATACATCTCTCCAGATCTTTGCATTCTATTATTTGAATTTGTTTATACATTTTTTTGCATGCTCTTAATAATCTCATGGTCATTACCCAAACTAGATTGTATACGCCCAATTATTTTTATCTTTTCTCCTAAATACCTCCACAATATTACATATGTAACTTTGCACACAGGACAGTCTATGCCAGTACTGACTATGCTCTATTTAGGTGGATGAAATCTCTCGGCGTTTAATTTGGGAAAAAAACCTGAAGCATATTTCCATCCATAACCTTGAGGCCTCTCTTGGTATCCATACATATGAACTGGCAATGAACCACTTGGGGGACATGGTGAGTTGAGCCTCAGCTCCTGGCCTACCTGCCCTGTTTCCTTAGCTCCCTGCTTATGCCTGGCCTCTTCCTCTTTGTCCCAGACCAGTGAAGAGGTGGTTCAGAAGATGACTGGACTCAGAGTACCCCCATCCCGTTCCCGCAGTAATGATACCCTCTATATCCCAGACTGGGAAGGCAAAGCCCCAGACTCCATTGATTATCGAAAGAAGGGATATGTTACTCCTGTCAAAAATCAGGTACCTCCTGTCTCCTGGGAATGGGTATGTTAGCGGCATGACCTCTTCCTTTTGCTGTTTCTTTGTTGTTAAGATAGGAGGACACTAGCAAGAAGGGGCGAGGAATTAAGGTTACCTCTCCTCATGCTAATACCTTCTTCCATCATTTAACTCATCTCCTGCTTTGGTTAATCCTCACCCGAGTATATTTTTTCCATTAATTTTTAGAGAGAGTGGAAGGGAGGAAGAGTGGAGGGAGAGAAGGAGAGAGAGGAGAGAAACAATGATGTGAGAGAGAGACATTGATTGGTTGCCTCCCACACATGCCCCAAAGGGGGCCAGGGATCAAACCTGCAACCCAGGTGCATGCCCTTGACCGGAAATCGAACCTGCCACCCTTTGGTGCAAAGGCTGATGCTCTAACCACTGAGCAACACTAGTCAGGGCTTTTAAGGTTGTTTCTGAGTTTTCCTTTTTACAAATAGTGTTGCTGTAAGCACCCTTGTGCATATATTTTTGTACAAATATTTATGCAAAATAAATCCTAAAATTAAAATGGATAGTCCTTTCCAAAAAAGTTTTTACCATCTTACATTCTTATTAGCATGAGAATGCCAGTTTTCCCACAAACAATAATGTTGATTGTGTCAACCAGATGAACAACTGATTTAACATTCATTCAACAACACATTTTTTTCCAGAACCTACCAGGTGTGTGCTAGGATGTAGAGATTTAAGATGACACCCCTGTGTCCCCAAGAAATCCTCAATCTTAAAAAATAGAAAGCCCTGGCCAGTGTGGCTCACTTGGTTAGAGTGTCTCCCCATGCACTGAAAGGCCACATGTTTGATTCCCGATCAGAACACATGCCCAGGTTGCAGTTTCGATCCCCAGTTGGACATACAGAAGGCAACCAATGAATGCTTCTCTCTCACATCAGTGCTTCTCTCTCCCTCCACATCTCCCTCTCCCTGTTCCTGTTTCTAGAATCAATGTAAAACATATCCTCCGGTAAGGATTAAAAAATAATAATAAAAATTAAAAATAGAAAAATCTACAAACACTAATAATAGCTAGCACTTTTTATTATCCACATTTTACAGATAGGGAAACCGAGGCACAGAGCTTTAATAACTTACCCAAGGTCATATATCTAAGGGGTTGCAAAGCCAGTACTATGCTCTTATATACTACAGCTAATGGAACAATAGTAACAAAAGTTATCAATAGAAACAATTACAATATGACAATGCAAAAATGTTAAATGAAGGGAAATAGGAAGACTTCACAGCAAAGAGGACGTGTGCTGGAATTTATTAAATCTATGGCATTTCATCAGGCAGGTAGAGGTAAAAAAAAAGTGTGAACAGCAATGACTGATCGTTTCTGTTATGCTTCTCAGGGTCAGTGTGGTTCCTGTTGGGCTTTTAGCTCTGTGGGTGCCCTGGAGGGCCAACTCAAGAAGAAAACTGGTAAACTCTTAAATCTGAGTCCCCAGAACCTGGTGGATTGTGTGTCTGAGAACGATGGCTGTGGAGGGGGCTACATGACCAATGCCTTCCAGTATGTGCAGAAGAACCGGGGCATTGACTCCGAAGATGCCTACCCATATGTGGGACAGGTGAGACAGTCCCACACAGTTACACAGCTCTCTAATGGCTCCTCCTGCCCCAGCATGATACTTTGTACTGGAAGCAACTCCAGAAATCTTGTTTTCTCTTACCTTATTCCCCTCCCTCCCTCCCTCCCTCCCTCCCTTTCTCTCTCTCTCTCTCCTTAAAAAAATATGTCTTTATTGATTTCAGAAAGAGGGAGAGAGAAAGAGAGATATCAATGATGAGTCATTGATCGCCTGCCTCCTGCACGCCCCCTATTGGGGATCGAGCCCGCACCCCAGGGCATGTGCCCTGATGGGGAATCAAACTGCAATCTCCTGGATCATAGGTCAATGCTCAACTGCTGAGCCACGCCTGGCTGGGCTTATTCTGCTTTCTTGATGGAATAATTGCCCACAGAAGGCTAAGAAGATTCCCATAATCTGGGAGAATTTGGGGAGTTTAGACTACCATAGATTCTATCTGCCTCTCTGCCCCGGAAAACAACAGAGGATAAGTTATTCCATAGATATCTGAGAAGTTATAAATAATAACTCTGTTCAAATCCCACTGCCATCACAAATCTAATTTCATAAATCATATGGCTTTATTTTGTATCAGTGTGAGTTTTGGTAACGTTTAAGCAAATTATATAAATTAACATGCTAACCAGCATAAAATGAGAGAAAAAACAAGTTGCTTCATATTTATTGTAATTTTAGAGATCAACTCAGTTCCTCCTATAAGATCCTTTAGCAATAGGAAGTAGATCTTTCTTATCTAAAATGAAGAGGATCTGAGGGCTTTTTATAAACATGGGGTTGATAGGTGATATAACATGGGGCCTTTGCAACAGGAACCTTTGAAGAAGGGATGGCAAGTTTTAGTAATGAAAAGGATGGCTACTGTGTGCTAAGCCATGTGCTTAGTGCATTTTCTCATTTAATCCTTTTAACAGCCCTGTAAGGTAGATGTATCCTCACTTTGTAAGTGAGGAAATTGACACTTGAGGTAAAACGGCCTACTCAACTCCATACCACTGGTCATGTAGTAGAGCCAACATTTATCTACCAGATCTGTTTATCTGCTGCAAACATTGCCAGGCATGTCTTCTATGCACATGTGCAAGAATTGTCTAAGTCTTAGGTTATGTGCATCTTCAACTTTACTAGATAGATAATATCAGTATTTTACCAAAGTATTTGGAAAAATTTATATTCTCACATTCAGTGTATAAGAAATCCCATTGATTCACATCTTCCAAAAAAAAATTATTTTTCAATTACAGTTGACATTCAGTCTTGATGTGGCTTCTTCTTTATCCTTAGTTATAGGAGTTCTGTTTAGTCTACAGGTGGTTCTCAAGGGTGGTTGCTCTATAATTTAATTATCATTTTGATGTGGTAGTAGGAAGAGGTGAGCATAGCGCTTACCTACTCTGCCATCTTGACCGCAAGTCTCATACCTTCAGCAGGGTGTTTATGTGGCTGTCTGCATTTCTTCTTCAGTAGATATCTTTTCACCATTTTAATTAGGTTATTTTTCTCTTTCTTACTGATTTTTAGAAAATTAAAAAAGATATTTGTATACTATGTGTGTTGTAGGTTGATGTTTGCCTTTTCCCTCTCTTTATATCTTTCAATCTAGAAAAGTTCTTAATTTTGGTGTAGTAAAATTACTAATTTTTTCCTTTGTAGTTTGTTCCTTTAAAAAAATCAAATAGTAGTGAGTTTTTATTCATTCATGTTTAGCCATCTGAAATTATGTCTGCTGCAATGAAATGCTCATTAACATAAATGACTTAACAAATACATTTCACTGGATACTCAACAGCCTACATAGTAAAGTCATTCCAACACATCCTCATGACATTGACCACATCAAAGTAGTACTTTATTTTATAAATGCCACCCCATTATTATTCCATGTTATGGGTTTTTAGCTTCACTATTGCAAGGCAGAGAAATTGGAGGTTGTACTTGGAAAAAAATTTATTTAATTCATATACAATTTTCAGAACAGCTGGGTCCCAAGACCATGTTTGAACTCTGGGGATGCTACTATAATGTGCAGCATACTTAGAGCTGCCTAACAGATTAGTTTTTTAATTCTGAATACATCTAACTAATCAAGATAACCTCAATTTGGCAAAATATTCTTTTTTAAATTGTCAAATACCCCTTTGGCAATTTTTATCATCACTTAATATAAAAAAAAATAAACCCCAACAGTATATACAAAAAACAGATTTATGCTTATAATTTTTTCATATTGATTAATCAGGAAGCCAACTTAAAAGTTTATGTAACTTAACTATATTAAATAATTTAAATACTATCAGAACTAATCGCTGATCACTCATCCATGAACAGCTTGCATCATTTACTCAGTACTATATTAACCACTTTGTTGAGAGTTAGTTGAACAATTAGCTCAGAGACTGAATAATTTAAGTGAAAATTACATACAGGGTGGGGCAAAAGTAGGTTTACAGTTGTGAGTTGTCAAAACATAGTTTATTCTACTTATTATTATATTGTTTTCCATACAAACAACTGTAAACCTACTTTTGCCCCACTCTGTAATATTCAAAACCCTATTTTGGACTAGCAGGAGCGTTTGACTTCTAATTTCTGTTCTTCCGCCCCCTTCAAATGATCTCTTCAGCATTTTAGAGGAATGTGGAATGATTTTGGTTTTATTATCAATGAAAATGAGAATTAGCCATGTAAGACACATGTTCCATTTTTAACATTGTGAATCTTTGGCAACTGTTCTCTTGTATCTAATTTGCAGTTTTTAAAAGCAGTTATTGTCCAAAACTGAAAGAACTTTCCTTCTCATGTGAACATATGAATGAATGAAAAGGAAGAGATCTGCTAGGAAAGCTACCAGATAGCACAGTAATTTAAGTTCATTCCAGCCATAATGCAGGTTATTTTGACTAAAGTATCATTGCATGACATCCTTTCAAATCCATTCCCGAGATATTTTATTTCCCTTGTAGATCTGTGCAATTTTTGGGAAGGGTTTGGATCAGGTGGCAGAGAATAAAGGCATCTTGAGAAAGTATTAAGACAGGGCATCATGTCAAATGCCACAGTTATGGAATATAATCCCCACCCAAGTCAAGGCGGTGTATTCTTTTTGGCAATTCATTATCCTACAGATGACTCTTTCAAAATCCTAACGTTGTATCTGCAAGAAAACATTATCTAAATATTAACAACAATGGCAGCCCTCTCCAGGCTCACACATACTACAGGGCCAGAAGATGATACATGCTTTTTAAAAAATCTTACTTTAGAAATCTACACTGAGGTAATAAAAATATTCTTTCTCTTTTTTAGATTTTACAGTGTTTGCTTTCACATTTGTTTTAAGGCCACCTGAAAAGGATTCTGTGTATGGTACAAGGTATTCACTTTCCACAGTCTTTTTTACAGTGGCCTGAAAGGGTGAGGAGAGAACAGACCTCTCTGGAGACGAGGCACCACCCCCGTTAGTTCACTGACATCATTAAAGCGTTGGCAGAGCTGCTCAGTCGCCAGTTCATTGCCTGTTGCTTTGTCCTAGTCTTTTTCAACCTTTTTCCTCCCCAGGATGAAAGTTGTATGTACAACCCAACAGGCAAGGCAGCCAAGTGCAGAGGGTACAAAGAGATCCCTGAGGGGAACGAGAAAGCCCTGAAGAGGGCGGTGGCCCGAGTAGGACCCATCTCTGTGGCCATCGATGCAAGTCTGACCTCCTTTCAGTTTTATAGCAAAGGTAAGGAGCTGTTCCCGTAGAGCACAGGGGACCATCTCTTATGATGTGGGCTTGGCAGCTTCTCAGAGGGCACTGAGCATTTTCAGTACTTCGTTTCCAGACTGAGTCTCTGGAGAGAAACTAACAGCTCCCCCGCCCAGGGCATGTCTGATGTAAGCCTAGAGGCTGCCTAGAGTGGGAGGCGCTGTTGGGTGCCCCTTGGATTACAGAAAGCTTAACCATGATTGATTGTTTCCTAGGTGTGTATTACGATGAAAACTGTAATAGCGATAATCTGAATCATGCGGTTTTGGCAGTGGGATATGGGATCCAGAAGGGGAAAAAGCACTGGATAATTAAAAACAGGTAACGATGGGAACACAACGTTTGTTAGTCACCCTCTTAACACTCAAACTCAACTCCATCTTCCCAATCAGAAACCTTCAGTGTTCCTCCACTATGATGGACCAAGAGTCCAAGTCTTTAGCCTGGCAGTAAAAAATAACTGAACCTGATCTCTATCTACCTTACCAGACATACCTCTCATTACACCCTGTCAGGCGCCCTATTTTTCAGCCACAAGATCTTAAAACATGTCCCATGCTTTCCTGCCTCTGTTACTCATTTCACACTCCTCCACTGGCATCCAATTTCCACAGGTCCCAATTCTATCCAGCCTTTGGGCTCAGCTCAAATGCAACCTCTTAAGTCTTTTCTGTCCCTTTTGACCAGAGGAAATCTCTCCTACCTTTGAGACCTGTAGTATTATGCCTTCCATTTCTTGACTTTAAACTTTTAAAGGTAAAAACTGTCTTATTCATTTTGTATACCATTAGTTCCTAGCATAATACTTAGTGTTTTAATGGATGGCTGAAGATGCTAAGTATTTTTCTTGATTGGTCCTACAGCTGGGGAGAAAACTGGGGAAACAAAGGCTATATCCTCATGGCTCGGAATAAGAACAACGCTTGTGGCATTGCCAACCTGGCCAGCTTCCCCAAGATGTGACTTCAGCCAGCCAACCCTATCCTGCTCTTCCATTCCTTCCGATGATGGTGCAACGAAGTGATGTACTTTGGAAGGGAGTTGGTGTGCTTGCTTGAAGCAGATATATTGATACAGAGATTGTCCATTCATTCTCCTCATTTGTTTGTGCTTCAGGTGACACTCCTACTACTCTCCTTCTCTCCACCCAAGGCCTTTATTTTTCACTGTGGCCACAGTAGGAATTTCCCTAACAGGTATGCAATCTTAGGCTAAGAGATGTGACCACAACCTGCCCTGACTGTGTTGTCCTGGGGCTGATGCTGTGCAAACAGAAGAGGGAGATCTTCAGCTAGGTTGGATGCTCATTCACAGGGCCTAGTTAGCTTTGACCACTCTAGGGGGCAAAGGTAATCTGACTTGTCAATCTCCATGTTCACTTCTTCTATATCCCAAGGTAGAAATATCTATGTTTTACACCTCAATTCATAAATTTATTCATCAATTTTTGGTACAAGTTAACATGATAAAAGAAATGTTTCCTTTTTCTTCTTTGCATTTTTAAAATAAACCTAATATTTATCTCTTGTCTATGACTTAATAAATAGCTATTTAGTAACCACTCATTTTGTGTTGGATACTGTGCTAGGTGCTGGAGACAAAAAAGTGAATAAAACATATTCCTTATACTTGATGTGTTCATAGTTTGTTTGGAGAGACCATCACATAAACAATTCATCTTAATTCATTTATTTGTTCATTCCTTCAAACAACTTCTATTAAGTGCTTACTCTGTACTAAGAACTGTACTAAATTTCAGGGATTAAGTGGATATAAGAAGATTTCAATATTTAACTCCATTTTAGGGGGACCAAATTAAGTGGCACATAAACTTGTGTCTTGAAAATTATCTTAGGACACTCTGCAGTTCTGAAAACAAAACTTATGTATGTTGTCACCAGAAGAGGGAATTGAAACTCTTTATAATGGTTTCCAAACAGTATTAATTCTAAAAAAACTTAGTAGGCTAATAATAAATCTATATAACTGGGTTTTACCATTTTTCACAAAATCCTCATTACCACTAGAAAGAATTCACTTATATAAAATGCTAACCATGTGTTAGGCAGTATTTAATTTTATTCCAAGCAAAACTATTTACTTTTGTATGTAAATATTTATTACCATGTGGTAAACAATGTATTTAAAGGAATTACGATGAAATAAATTAGTAAGACTTGGCCCAGACTTCAAGAATGTTATAGACTAGTGACAGACATACAAACAACTAACAATACCAACCATAATGAAATAAATACTAATTATGCAAGTTCAGGAATGAGTCATTAATTCATAATGGGATTTGAGATGAGGCTTCATTGAGAACAGAGCTTTGAAAGATCTGAATTGGCCAAGAAGACAGATAAGGAGTGGAGTGGGAGGAGAGAAGGCATGTAACTTATTCAAGAGGACAAGAACTGGTTGCTGACTTGGGATTGACGCCAGTTTTAAAAGTAGTGTTTTCCCAACAGTATCATTTTGTTTCCCACTGTTTGGAACTTCCTTCTCTCATCTCTGCCTCTTGAAATCCTGTTCCTCCTTCATGTCCCATCTCAGAAGACATTATTTTTCAAAAAACCTTATAAATATATATATATATATCTTAATTGATTTCAGAGAGAGGAAGGGAGAGGGGGAGAGAGAGATAGAAACATCAATGATGAGAGAGTCATTGACTGGCTGCCTCCTGCACGCCCCCGACTGGGGATCGAGCCCACAACCTGGCTATATGCCCTGACTGGGAATCGAACCGCAATCTCCTGGATCCTAGGTCAGTGCTCAACCCCTGAGCCACGCCAGCTGGGCCAAAAAACCCTTTTTTTAATCTCCAACCGGATGTCTTTTTTTCAGCCTCTACATTACTTTGAGACTCTCTTGTGATAGACTCAGAGATTCTGAGAAGAGAGAAATCACCCCCTTAATTTTCTACCTAATATCACAATTACTTATTTCTTTGCCATAAAACTAGCATCTTAGCCCCCTAAATCCTGGAGTTATGTGTACCTTACCCATCTTGTATCCCCCACAGTATATAATGCAGTGATATAGTAGACACTCATCAAATATTTGCTGACATGGTTTAAATTATTTCAACAGCCTTCAGTTCAGTCCACCTTGCAATCTCATACCACGCCAAGTTGTACAAGTAAGACATATTATTTTCATGCCATGTCCTATAAATGCTTTCTGTTGCCTGTTGCATTTCCCCATAATCTAACTCATCCTTGATCACTGTACTCAGTATAGACCAGATTGTTAACTTTCAACCTCTGCTTTTGCCAAGCTTTCTCATGGTCCTCTCACATTGCACTGATTCCCTCCCACCACAGATTAGGAAACATCGGAATGGTGTGGGAAAGGGAAATGAAAATAGAATAAGGAAGCCTAGTGCCTACCAGTGTTGAAGTCATCTCCTGTTGGCTTCATGCACCCTGAGAGTTGGCTGCTTCAAGTCTCTCCAAGGAACTATCTTATTTAGTTTTAAAGAAAAGGACTCAGAGTTTTAGGATGACACCAATGCTAGTTTTAGTCTCTGTTAATTTCCCGAGTGATTAACTTTGTACTGGGGATTTAATAATAGACACTATTTTCTATTATTATAGTTCAAATAGCCCACTTGTTACTGACACTTCTGCCCAAGAAATACACAAAGGTGAGCTGAAGAATACAGTAGTCCCCCTTTATTCACAGGGGATACGTCCCAAGACCCACAGTGGATGCCTGAAACCACAGATAGTACCGCACCCTTTACGTACTATGTTTTTTTCCTATACATACATACCTATGATAAAGTTTAATTTATAGTTAGGCACAGTAAGAGATTAATAGCATACACTTACATACCCCAAAATATCCAGGAGTATCAACTGAAAAATGTACAAATGAAGAGAATTCTAGGTAAAGCAGCTGAGTACAAAAACAGATCTAACAGAAATCAATAGTTTTCAATATATGTCTAATTAGAAATTATATCGGAAAATACCCCATTTAAACTGCAAAAGTAATAAAATATAAATTCCCAGAAAAAAAAATGGTTAGCAAGAAATGAGCAATATCTATAAGAAGGGCACAAAAGGATACTTGAAAAAAATATGAAAGCATCTCTTGTTCTCAGATGGGAAGATTCAATAGCATAAAGAGGTCAATTCTCCTAATTTAAAGTACAAATTTAATTTGATCCAAATAAAAATACTGAAAGGGTTTTTGATAACTTGCCAAACTGATTCTAAAGATCACATGGGAAAAAGGAAAAGGAAGAATATTCAGGGGGAAATAAATCTAGAAAAGGAGAGTATTAAGGGAAAAACTAACTCTATTAGATATTAAAGCACATTATAAATGTGTGATTCTGGTCAAGTATAGACCTACATATTAATATACCAGAACAGAAAATCTAGAAATAAACCCAAATACATATAGGAATGGAGTACATTTGTTGTCCACATATCCATACAAAAGGAACTTCTAAAGGATGTTCTTTAGGGAGAAGGGGGAAAATTCCAGATCAAAGTAACAGAACTGTGTAGATTTGCCTAGCAGGGAGTCTGATCTCTCTCAGACTGCTGACCATGCTCTCTCCTGCCTACGCATTTGAACATGCTGTCCTTTGGATCTGGGATGCCTTTTCCTAACTCCCCATCTGCCAAACTCATGCTCGAGCTTCAGGAAAGTTCAGGAGCCATTCTTTTGTGAGGCGGAAAGAAGTGGAGCACGTGCAGTGTTTGCTACATGTTGCCTTCCCTCCATTTTCTTGCCTCTTCATTTGGTTCATGTGTGTTTGTTCTCTACACCACTGCCAGAGGAATATTGCTAAATATGGACCTGATCCTGTCTCTCTCCTGCTCAGAAATACCTGATGCCTCCTAAATGCCTGTGTGTCTATAAAATGAAGTATATATACACTTCCTGGGACATGGGAGGCATTCAAGGCCTTCCACGATTCTCCTCCAACCTACTTTTCTCGCCTCGGCTCTATCATGTATGCCTTTGCACCCTATGCTTGAGCCACCCCAGCCCTCACCATTCACACACACAGCTTTCCCAGTGTCTTTGTTCACCAAGAACCTTCTAATCTCTTAGAACTTTAATTTCCCCTGTATAAAATGAGGGTAAGAATTTTACCAACCTCATAGTGTTGTAAAAGTTGAATAATAATACTCATTCATTGGCATATAATTGGTGTCCAACAATTGTTAGCTGGGACTGTTATAAAGTGAGTAAAAAGTGCAGAGGATAAGTGTGGATGTTCTGGAAACATGAAAACTAGTTGCTTTGAGTATAGAGTTTATGTGTGAGGATAGATGTCTTAGTCTGTTTGGGCTGCTATAACAAAATAACACAAACTGGGTGGTTTATAAACAATGGAAATTTATTTCTCACAGTTCTGGAGACTGGGGAGTCCAAGATCAAGACTCAGCAGATTCAGTTTTGGGTGAGAACCCCTTCCTGGTTCATAGATGGCTGTCTTTTTGCTGTGTCCTTACATAGTAGAAGGGCCGAGGGAGCTCTCTGGGGCCTCTTTTATAAGGGCAATGATACCATGCATGAGGGCTCCATCCTTGAAACCTAATCTCCTACCAAAGGCTCCACATCCAAATACCATCACACTGGGGATTAGGTTTCAATATCTGAAACAAGTATAATTGAAGTTACCTATTTACGTTTACAGTAGTATTTCTTTTATAAGTATAGTTTTTCAGTGACATTATGGGTTAGGTGGGCCTTTGTAGGCTTGTCTAAGCAACAAATCACTGCTTTATAATACTTTTCTACGAGTGTGTTCTTGGTTCTAAACAGTCTCCTTACAAGCCTTTTAGAACACAGCTTTTCATAGGTTGGAAACTATGTATAGGCTTGAAAACACACTAAATTGAAGAAAGATATTACTGGGCTTGCACTTGAACTTTACAAATAAAATAAAGCAACTGTCATTCACCTTCAACCTTAACACCACTTTAGATGCTATCACATCCTTTACCTTCTCTGTTACTGTTGGTTACAAGGACCTAGCTTGTAACCAACAGTAACAAATATGGACAATGGAATGAGTTTTTCATAAAACTAAATATTTTCCACTTCTAAATTCTGAGATGATTTCCTTCCTAGCCTTTTTGGATATTAAAATGCTTCTTCAATGTTGAAATGATGATGAGTGTAGAAACTAATGTCCCAAAGTTCTCCCCCAAAGGGCTGTGCCGATTTACCAAATCTGGCAGGATGTGAAAAAGGGAAATGGTGTAAAGGAAAGCTGATCACTCATTGGGGCCCGGTGCTCATGTTTCCTGTTTGTCATGTTTGTAGCACAATGCCCACACTTCCATCACTACTTCCACAATGACCCTGGATGAGCCTCTCTTGGCCCCAGTTTCCTCATCTAAAGAATAGGATACTGCTACCACCACCTCATATGTGCAGCTGCAATTGACGTTCTCAGGGTCCCTGACCATAGACTTACAGTAACTGGGAGCTTCAGAATCCTATTCCCTCCATCATATCTGCAAGCTTTCAATCTCAGTGTACTCCTGATTCCAAGGGGAAAGTAGTGGACCATGGAAAGGCTCTCCAAATTCTAGCAAAGACATTTCTAATACCTTAAATAAGGTACTATGCAGTTCTCTTAAAAAACTGA